CTTTAACTCTAAAAATCAGTGGAAAAAATATCCTCAGGTGAGGATTAACAACAAAAAAAGGACCTAGATGAGACACTATGAGTCAGCAACTCAAAGAAAGTTAAGATAAACCAAATAGATGCTACGAATATGATGAAAGGCTGCCCTCTCTGTACACAGTGAGTGGCATGGATGAATCTAAATAAGCTTTTCCTACTTGTAAAGAGGTGCCAACATCCCAGGAGAGGTATTTAGCCACAAGTCAAGAGCCTCTGGCTTTAGTCCTGCTCTATCACTAACTTGCTGTGGCACCTAGCAAAGTCCCCTCAATTTATCACTTCTAAAATGAAGGGAAGAACTAGATGATTTCTAAGGCCATCTTTCAACATTAATAATCTATAATTTCTAATAAAACTTACAAGATAAATCTAATAATGTTAGATTTTCAAGGCCTCTTTTCATCACTCGAACTGGTGCTGTCATTTTCCGTACCCCGGCATCAGATAAACAATTATCCTTCAAGTGGAGTTGAGTTACACTAGGAAAACAAAGTCCATAAATAAATTATTTAAGAGAGTTTGAGAAAGTCTAGGTATGTAACACACTTTCATAAAAGTTCATTTAGAAATATTAAATATCCTCTACCCCCTATTTCACATTCAATGCATTCAACGAAGCTAAAGATCTTTTGGTGCTATTTCAGTTACTAAGTGAGGGTTAGCTTAGGGATCAAAGTGTCATGTAGTATTAATCTCAGATGGCAGAAGGCACCAGAGGTATATGGTGGAATGAGATAAATGGACTTCATTAGGGAGATAAATATACACTTATTAAACACAAAAGCTGCATTCCTGACAAATGCTGTGGGAACCAAAAATACTCTAAATGTCAGGAAAGTCTTCTAAAGAACTCCTTTGAGAATTCTTTTGGCAAAACAAACAATCCTCTAAGTTTAACTAGCTCTATAAATGCAGATTTTCAGATTGAGTTTTTAAGGTATACCTATAACCCAGTCCATCCAGCTAAACTGACACTGGTGTATTAATGTGCTTCAGTGTCCATGCACAACAGGAAACCTGAACTTCTACTAACCTCACACAAAAATACCTTTGCACAGAGCAGTATGTAGGTGTCTTTCCTAGGAAGGCCCCAGCAAGTGGGTTAGAGCTAGGTTTGTAACGCTGCTATCTCTCTGGGTGTTTATGAAACCACAAAGAAATCCATTCGGCCTCCTGTCTGCCGGTCAGACTGAGATCAATCTAATCATTTGTGAATGGTATGAACTGGGTGATTTCTTTAAATTATGGTTCTTGAAAAAGATGTATTTGGCTGTCTTTAATAGTTGACTTCTTAAATAATTTATAGTTCATTGATAGTGAAAATAGAAAATGATGACTTTGGAAAATTGTATGATTTCTTATCTCTTGCTAGATTAAACTAGGACTAGACAAATAAAGGAAAAAAATTTTTTTTCAGCCCAGGTAGCTTCAAGTACTACATGTTAAAGGTTATTTAGAAAAATGAAATAACTGACTTACTTTCATAAGAGTTATCTAATCTATATTGCTCCTATCAAGTAAATGGAAATTGAAAAAGTTTACGAAAAAACTTAGCAAATAAACAGACTTGGGAGGTAATTGGTATTCTTGAAGATGATCCTATTGGATCATCCTTTTTAAAAAATAATAAAACAATTCATCTGCAAATGGTGGTAATACCTAGATAGGGCCTCATTGGTGAGATGTTCTAGGAGTTCATGTTCATCTCCAAGCTTGCAACAGGAAAGATCCAGGCAGGTCAACTCCCGGAAAGACTTAATCTCCTCAAGTTTTTCTGAAATCACCAGATATCTGTGGAGTATGAAGAAGAATCAACAGTTTTTCTTTTCCTTCTTTAAAAACATTACCAAAAAGATGAACAAAAAGAGAAAAAGATTACCAAGAAGAAAACAAAAAAAGACAAAAATAAAAAAATTACTATTTGTGGCTTTGTGCCGCACAACCAACATTCCATCAGGAAAAAGTACTATGTAATAACCAGACTTCACTGATTATTATGTGGGCACTGGTTGAATTTTTTTCATTAGTAAATACATTGAAAGTCTTTTACATGACAGTGGAATAAAAACTTTAAGTAAATGAAAGTATATGAGCAAAGACCAGTCACAGGAGAAAACATCTGCTTTTTTAGACGACAGACAGACTTTGGTGGTTTGGGGACCTTATCGGAGAATTTCCAAACTGTAGGATACTCAAAATTTTATCTAATGCTCAATATTTAGTGGTTTAAAAACTGGAACAGGGCCAAGAACACTGGGTTCTAATCTTCACATCCAAAGAGATATTTGACAGATCACATTTTATCTTTTCCACGAGTTTGAGTAACTGCCCATTCCACTGTGCCTCTGTTCAGCTAACTTTACTACAAAAAGTATGTGCAGCGTGACTACTCACTCTAATCTAGATGGTTATTAAGACAAACCTGTGAGCTCAACAGCCAAGTTAATTACACTGGAGTACCTTGCCAGACTATTATCAGGAAGTATCAGGGAGGTGCCTCCCCTGAAGAAGAAAGGAGATCAAAAAGGCACTCCACATCCCAGGCTCCGGCCTCCACCCCGCTTTCTAGTCCTTCATGAAAAGGGATTAGGTGTGAGTGATAGAGGGAGAGGATCTTAAAAGAACAGGGAAACTAACTTGTGGCAAAACATGCCTTTCTGATCCATTTTCCTCATGGATGTGTAGATGTTTCCACAGAGATGGATGGCATGCCAGGACCAGTGGGGTTATACTTAGAAGTGTTCACATCTCTATTCTGTCAGCAGGATCACAATTACCACAAACAGGATGAAATAATGACAGTATGAGGGAAGTTAGATCTCTTTTCTTTCTACTTCCAACAAAAAATGTACTGAAGCTGTCACTGGCATGACTGCTATGTACAGATGACCTGGGCACTGATACCCCCTCTAGGATGCCTGATGACCGAGCTCAGCTGGGTACACAAATGAGCCTTATTTCCTCACACGTATTTTATCTGCACTATAAATAAAGCTGCTGTTTCCCATTTTACAATTACAGAGCTGAAGTGGGTAAATGGGAATTTGGGGGATTACTGGCAATCAGAGAAAGAAAAATACACATCCTTTGATCAATTAATCAAAAGATTTTTAGTAATTCTGGAACACATTATCTGAGAAGGATTAACAATGTATAATCTGATTAAGAAACATTACAAAAACCAAAGCTAAGAAATCAACATGCAAAACCACAGACCTTACTAGAAGTTTATCTAGAACAGCAATTTTCAACCTTTTTTTATCTCTTGGCACACATAAACTAATTGCTAACATTCTGTGGCACACCAAAAAATACAATTTTTGCCCATCTAAGAAGAAATAGGTATAACTTTGACTGATTTACAAAAATGTAAGAACTAGAAGCCCGGTACACGAAATTCGTGCACTGGGAGTAGGTGTCCCTCAGCCCAGCCTGCACCCTCTCCAATCTGGGACCCCTTGGACATCCCTCTCACAATCCAGGACTGTTGGCTCCCAACTGCTTGCCTGCCTGCCAGCCTGATCACCTCCTAACCACTCCCCTGCCAGCCCGATCGGCGCCTAATCGCTCCCCTGCCGGCCCGGTTGCCCCCAATTGTCCTCCCCTGATAGCCTGGTCACTCCTAACTGCCCTCCCCTGCTGGCCTGATCGCCCACAACTGCCCTCCCCTGCTGGCCATCTTGTGGCTGTGGGCACTGCCATCTTTGAGGGTGTGGCAGTCAATTAGCATATTCCCTCCTTATTGGCTCTGGGCACTGCCATCTTTGAGGGCAAGGCAGTCAATTAGCATATTCCCTTTCTTTCCTTTTTTTTTCAAATATATTTTATTGATTTTTTTACAGAGAGGAAGGGAGAGGGATAGTTAGAAACATCGATGAGAGAGAAAGATGAGAGAGAAACATCGACCAGCTGCCTCCTTCACACCTCCCACTGGGGATGTGCCCGCAACCAAGGTACATGCCCTTGACCGGAATTGAACCTGGGACCCTTCAGTCCGCAGGCCAACACTCTATCCACTGAGCCAAACCGGTTTGGCAGCATATTCCCTTCTTATTGGCTGTGGGAGCTGCTATCTTTGAGGCGGGGCAGTCAACTAGCGTATTCCCTCCTTATTGGCTGTGGGCACCTCCATCTTTGTGACAGCGAGGGTCAATTACCATATTCCCTCTTTATTAGATAGGATAGTTATTACCTACCCTTTTGCTCCAAAGTGACTTTAAAAAATCAGGTGCCTGTACTTATATATAAGGATTTCTGGTACCCAGAATTAACCAATCAGAAGCAACCTTATTATGTAATGTGACCAATAAGATGCAAATCTATTATATGACCTACATATTTATGGTTCAAGACAGGGTATTCACACTAGAAGGCTATTGTTATGTTGGCTATTGTAATTTTTTTATTTGACAATCGGAGGAAAAAAGAAGTCAGTGCTGTTGACTAAATAGTCATGGAGTGCATGTTTTAAAAATTCTTGCAGCACACTGGTTGAAAAATCACTGATCTAGAACATAAGTTCTAGGGTCCTGCTCAAAACTACTCTTCCAATTTGCCACTTCAAGAGTTCAGAAGAGCGAGTTGGGCCACCTTCAGCCCCGTGAGAAGGATGCAGTACAGCAGGACCTATGGGGGCGGCTATGGTCAGAAATTAGTCGGGAGAGATTAAAAATGGCAGCAGAGTAGGAGGATGCTGCACAGACATGCTCCCAGGAACAAGCTGGAATTACAACTGAAATACAGAAAGGCTTCCTAAATAATCAATGGAAAACTCTCAGGAGAGAACCCCGATACCCAAGGACCGAAGATGGAGACCGCATAGAGACTGGTAGGAGGGGTGAACGGGCTGGCACCCCTACAGAAGGCAACTGAAGTCCCGGAGAGCTAGCTTAGCTGTGGAGGGGAGCCACTGAGAACTCTGAGATCTAATCCCGAAGCTGAGCTCCTCAGCAGAGAGCACCAAACTGAGGAGAGTACCCACATAGTATCTAGCTGTGAAAAGCAGTGAGGTGCTGTCTGCCAGGGAGTGGCAGCTGAAAGTTCAGGCACCCTCGTAAAGGGCCAATGCACAAAAATTCCCTGTGGAGCCACCCACCTTATGCTCTGGCAGAGGGAGGGTGAAGTGGACTGGAGCTGTGAGAGCAGAACCCAGGACTGGGGACTTGGGGGATAGAGCTCAGAAGGCAGACACCGCAAGTTTCCTAGGCTGAGTCATTTCCTCACACAGTGGAGGACATCTTTCCCACATAGACATCTGCCTCGCCTGGGGGGAAGACAGTTGACACACACTGAGGCCACTTAAGAGATTAAAACTAACAATTAGCCTCCAGGAAGAAGCAACTGCCCACCCTGTTGAAAAAACTCTCTCCACACCTGAGGATGACTGCCTGGGGGCAATTCAAGTCAGAATCCTATTAGACTGTAGACAGAGACGGTCTCTGGAAGCTTTGAGTCTTTGCCTGATCCAATTAGTCAGAAACAGCCTTTAACACTGTCCTGCACTAGAGATTGAGAGGTGTAGAAGATCTACCTAATACATAGTCACAAACCCAAACAGACAACCAAAATTAGGAAACAAAGAAACAACCCCCAAATAAAAGAACTAGGGAATTCTCCAGGAGAAGAGATAAATGAAGCAGAGATAAGAAATTTATCTGAAACTGAGTTCAGAATACAGATGTTAAAAATGCTCAACAGTATGAAAAAAGATATAGTAACTATGAAAAAAGAACAGTCTAAGATAAAGAATGACAAGACAAAGAACACACTGGAAGGAATACACAGCAGATTAGGGGAAGCTGAGGATCAAATCGGTGGATTACCAGACAGAGTTGAAAATATCACTCAATTAGAGAACCAAAAAGAAAAAACAATTAAAAAAAAAACAGAGACAGCTTAAGGGAGCTGTGGAACAATGTGAAATGTAACAATATTAGAATAGTAGGTGTGCTAGAAGAGGCAGAAAGGGAGAAAGGAATAGAGGTGTTTGAAGAAATAATGGTAGAAAACTTCCCTAACCTAGTAAAGGGAAAAGTCACACAAGTTCCAGAGGCACAGAGAACCCCAAGCAAGAAGAACCCACACAGACCCATTCCCAGACACATCATAATTAAAATGCCAAAAATTAAAGACAAAGAGAGAATATTAAAGGCAGCAAGAGAAAAGAAAACTGTTACCTACAAAGGAGTTCCCATAAGGCTGACACCTGATTTCTTATCAGAAACTCTACAGGCTAGAAGAGAATGGCATGAAGTACTCAAGGTAATGGAAAGCAAGGATCTGAGACCAAAATTACCAAATCCAGCAAGGCTATCATTCAAAATATGGTCAAATAAAGAGCTTCCCAGACAAAAATAAGGCTAAAGGAGTTCAGGGGGGGGGGGGGGGGAATTCCAGAATATAACAGAAGTAATCCTGTTATTTGCAAATTGTTAATATTTCCTACAACTTTTATTATATCATACTATGTTAGTACAGTTTTGGTAATATTATACTTAAAATTCTTTTTTTCTTGAAATGTTTATTGCATGTAATATATGTAAGATCATTTTTTGAATAATTGGCATTTATAGCATGTAACATTATATTTAAGATCGTTTTTCTTGAAATATTAAGATTTACTGCATGTAACATTATTACATTTAAAATAATTTTTCTTGAAATAAAAAAAACAGAAAAGAAAAAAAAAGAAATTTGAAAAAAAAATTAGTCAGAAGAGTTTGGAACATGGAGAGTTAGCAAGCTACTGGGCATAGTTCAATCAGTTTTTTCTATCCCTTAGTATTAGTAGGAATTGGAGCGAATTGGGCAGGAGGGGTAGGATTAGGAACACTTGACAAAAACAACAAAAATGCAAGATTTTATGAAGAAAAAATATATAAAGTTTTTGAAAGATATAAATGAGGGCTTGAATAAATAGAGAACTACACCATGATCATGGATAGTTCTGCAATCCCTTTAGCATTAAGATGCGTGAAAAAGAGAAGCGTCACCATAACCATGGCCAAATAATCCTACGTCAAGTCCACCAAACTTGTGCTGAAGGGAACCAAGGCCAAGAGTAAGAAGAAAAAGAGTAAAGAGAAGAGAAAAAGAGAAGATGATGAAGAAACCCAACTTGATATTGTTGGGATCTGGTGGACAGTAACAAACTTTGGTGAAATTTCAGGAACCATAGCTACTGAAATGGATAAGGGAACCTACATACATGCACTTGACAATGGACTTTTTACACTGGGAACTCCACATAAAGAAGTGGATGAAGACCCTAGTCCCCGGAGCAGTTTATAACTGTCAAACTGACTGATTCTGGAAGTGCCCTAAAATCTGGCTATGGAAAATACCTTGGTATAAATTCAGATGGACTTCTTGTTGGGCGTTCAGATGCTATTGGACCAAGAGAACAATGGGAACCAGTCTTTCAAGATGGGAAAATGGCTTTATTGGCCTCAAATAGCTGCTTTATCAGATACAATGAAGCAGGCAATACAGAAGCAAAAAGTAAAACCACAGGAGAAGGAATGATAAAGATTAGATCCTGTGCTGAAAGAGAAACTAAGAAAAAAGATGACATCCCAGAGGAAGACAAAGGAAATGTTAAACAGTGAAATCAATTATGTAAAGAAATTTCAGAGCTTCCAAGACCAGAAACTTAAAATAAGCAAAGAAGGCAGTAAAATTCTTAAAAAGGCCCAGAAAGATGGATTTTTGCATGAAACACTTCTGGACAGGAGAGCCAAATTGAAAGCTGACAGATACTGCAAATGACCAGGGTTTTTGCCTTTGTCTTTTGTTTGTTTGTTTTTCTGAATAAAATAATCAGTGGAAGTGTTTTTACACAAGAAAAAAAAAGTTCAGAACAGTGAGTGGAGAAGCAATAGGACAAGCACACAGACATATTTTAGAGTCAGATGTACCTGAGTTTGGATTCTAACAACCCTAATTACTTTTGTGATTGTGAGAAAGGTACTTAACCTCTCTAAGCCTCAACTTCTCCAGCTAGAAAATGGGGCTGATAATTACTTCTTTTCAGGATTATTAAGGCCCTTATTAAATGGTAGCTACTAATATTTACTTCAGTTACACAGGGTGATATTTTAAGGAAAACATGCTTGCCTCCATGTGACCACCAGTGGGATTAAAAATCACTGGGGTTTCAACACAGGGAGGACAGTTCTGTAGGGTTGGAACCCCGTTGCAAAGACACTAGCTTCTCCTTCTGGCAGGCAGCTTTATCACTCAATCCCAAGACAGCAAGCCCTGCACCTACCCAATTCTTATTTTCA